GCCTGTGCCTCTGGGGAGAAGTCCCCCGCTCCGCCAACTAAAGCAGAGGTGCACACGGCTCTGCCTCCCGGGATGAGGTACCCACAGCTCCGCGTGTGTCTTCTCGAGGGAAGAGAAGTGCCCCAAGTGATCTGGGGATGGGCCAGGAATCACATGAGGTTTCTGGAACAAGGTGTGCCTCGGCCATGGGCTCCTGGCGCCTTGGCCAATAAGCCCAGGAACCTCTTCTCTTGTACAGTGATGACTGTCGCAGGTGACGCTGGTCTCAGAGAACCTGGGCTTTCAACAAGAGGGTGGCGGTCGCTGTGGGGTCCACCTGGACACCTCCACGCTGTGGCTGGTTTCCAGGCCCCTGTGCCTTCTTCAGCCCCTCGTTCCTGCCCGGCTCCTGCTCCAGACCTAGGGAACACTGCCCCCTGGCCCCGGAGCAGCTCTCACAGGGGCAAGGGGCGTGTCTTCCGGCCCTGCAGAGGGCCCCCCCTACAATGCGGGGCCCTCAGTGCTCTGCTTCTGACCTCAGGGGACCGCGCTGCCTCCTCCTGTCCCTCAGCCAGGCACTGGTTGCCTCCATCTTTTGCAAGATTCAGGGATGTCACTGGGCTCCGGAGGGGACCCTTCTCTCGTGGCTGGCCGCAGGACGGCCCTCAGCCACTCCCAGACCTTCCCTGAGACAGTGAACGGGCTTCCGGAGACACCCCTGTGCTTCTAATCCATCTCCATTGTTCTGTTTTCTATTGAAGGTTCTGTTCACCTGGGCTGACCTGCAGTGGTGCAGTTTGAGCCGCAAATGAAGAAGGCTCTGCGGATACAGCCCGACAGTCACCCGACTGTTTTGGTTAGTGTAATTCGAGTAATGAGCAAATTATTTTAAACAATATGAAATATTATGAAAATGAAACAACTTTAATACATATTTTTGAAGTTCAAAAATGTCAAGATACCTTAAAATGGAGAAAGAAGAAACCTGACTGTAATTTGAGTGCAGTGAGGTGGCGTCCATGTCTGCATCGTGGCAACTTCCTCACTTGGGAATCAGATGACCTGGGAAGACCACGTGGGACCCGTTCCTTTGGCCTGGTCGCTGCCTTTATCCTGGAAACCCACCGAAATCCTGTGCGTCCCTGAGCGGGGCAGCACTCCACCACTTTAAAGGCGCCCAGACTTCTCAGGGTCACTTTTCTTCGTAATCAGAAGGACCCAGGGAGAGTGGGTTACATCACAATGGAGAGTGAGGATGAGAAAACAGCTCACGTCCCACAGCCACCTTGGTGCTGGTGCAGGCGAGGCCGATACTCTGGCACTTGCCCCAGGTGGGCAGAGGAAAGGGCCTGGAGGGGCTTCCTCGGAGACTGGGGTGGCTCTGGCCTCCTGCTGCAGGGGGACCCCTGAGGTGGGGTCCCCATGGAAATACTGACCTACAGCCACACACCCAGCTTCATCCTTTAAAACGGCATGAGAGCCCATCAAATTCATCTGACAAATATTTACTGTGTGTCAGGCGCTGTTCTAGGCCCAGAACAGCAGTCAGGGACTCGGGTGCAAAGCCCCGCCCTCCGGGAGCTAGGCGGCAGCCCGAGGTGTCAAGCTAGCAAAGCAGGTTCCTGACCTGCTGTTGTTTCTTTCTTATTTCCTTCCCCTTCACTGGTTTTTTTTCCATCTCATTTTTATGCTTCTCCAAACCTTGTTTTTCTCTGCTAACTCGAGAGTGAGGTCAGACAAAAAATGAAAGGTACAGAGGCCTGAGTGGCAGCAAGTCTGGGCCGGCGTGTTAGACGAGGTATCGGCGGGCGAGTCACGCTGACCCTCTGGGAAGGACACTGATCCAGCCTCCCGTCTGGCTCCCGGCCCCGCTCTGTTTCTCTCTCTCTCTCTGATTGATTGCAGATTCCTTGGTGGGGGAAAACAAGCGACTGCTTCTGGGATTTCGTTGAAACAAAGCAAAACAAAGCAAAGAAGCAAATCCTCAGCCTGAAACTTGGTGTCTTCAGTCATTATGGGATCATCACTAAGGGGCAGGCATTGCGTTCACACCCCTGCTTCACCCTTTAGGTCACTGTTGGCGGCCAAACCGGTGTTCTGTGCAACCTGGGCTCCCCTTGGAAGCGTCTTTAAGGCTTCCCTCCGAGTTAAGAGGACATCACGACACGTCTGTGTCCCCCAAACACAGACTCAGTGCCTGGAATCCTGGCTTCTCACGTCCCCCCAACGCTGTGGGCAAGTAGGTAATTGTTTACCCCCGGCCTCCGAAGCCTGATGGTGAGGTATTACCGCCTCCCTGTGGGGTTGCTGTGAGGGCTAGAGGTGGTATTGGGGTGCAGGCAGGACTTGGCAAGTGATGGGCAGTCTCTAAGCAGTGGTTCTTCCTGTGCTGAGAAGCTGTGCTCGGAGGTTTGAGCAGCCACTTCAACAGGGGTGTCCAGATAGCGGCTGCTGACCCACTGGGGCTTTTGGAAGTGGAGTTGGTTCAGAAGATCGAAGAACTATCCAATAGGGCCTTTGTAGCATCAGCCTCAGTTTGTGGTATGTCCTGGGTTCTCAGAGAGGACCTCGTCGTCTGGGCAGCCGAGTACAGAGAGGTTTCTTAGGGCCATGGGACTTGGTTATATGCATCTTGGGGATGCATTTGACCTTTCAAGCCAAGGTCACCTTTCTTTTCTATTTAATTTTTAATCATGGTAAAACACATGTAAAATTTACCTTCTGACCCATTTTAAGAGTAGAGTTCAGGGTATCAAGTGCGTTCACACTGTTGTGCTGCTGTCACCTCCCTCCGTCCACACAACTCCTTCCGTCTTGCAAACTGAGACTCTGCACCCACTGAACACTCGCTCCCCATTTTACCCCCCAGCCCCTGGACACCACCCTTCTACTGTCCATGTCTAGGAATCTGACCGCTCTCAGGACCTCACTTAAGTGGAATCATCCAGTATCTGTCCTTTTGTAACTGGCTTATTTCACTGAGCACAATGTCCTCAAGGTTCCTCCAAGGTGTAGCAGGCGTCAGATTTTCCTTCCTTTTTTAAGTCAAGGTCGCCGCTTTTTAAAGTGGGTGCCCAGATGTTCAGATGAGGGTTTTTCACGGGATCAGATCAACTAGGAGAATTTTGCTGAATTCAGTTCTGCCCTTTTCTTCCACATCACTGCCCTTTCTCAGCTCATCTCTCCCCCTATTCCTGTAACAACCTCTGAACCCGCTCTGCCCTGTGCCCCCAGCTGTGTCCTCAGTGCCCCCTCTTCTGGTCACCTTGCGTCTCCCCCTCTTGGGGCCTGTGCCCCTGCCCCGGCCTCCCGCCTGGTCCATCTGACTCCTCCTGTCCTCCCTTTCGGCTCTGTGCTGCCTCTTCCAGGAAGTCTTCCTGAGGACCCCATCTGGCTGGAGGAACCACCTACGCCACCCCATTCCTTTTTAGCTCAGTTCTTACTGTGCTGCGCTGTAGTTATTTGCTTCGTCATTTCTTTCACTTTAAGAGGAGCTTTGTTTTCTTTTTTTGTTTGTTTTGTTGTTGTTTCCCCTGGAGCCTGGCACACAGCAGTCGCTCAATAATTGTTTGTAGGATAAACATATGCATGAATAAGTGAAAACCTGCTTGGGAATCTACCTTCTGAAGGGTGACCTTCCGTACAAACCAGATGCCGTCATTAGGACCAATGGGCTTGATTGCTGCATTTTAGGAACTGAGATGAAAAAGACCTTTTTGGTGGAGAAACGGTGAAGTTTGGGGCGAATACTGAAGGAGCCAGCATTGTTTAGATCCAGTCCTGTGCAAAGGCAGTACGCAGGACACTTGAGGAATAAAGCCTTTAAAGGCCTCTGGCTCTCCGAGGTGTTATACAGGCATCTGTACAGACACACATGGGTTCTTAAGCTGTTCAAGGATAGCTTCAGAAGGTGCTCAGATCACAGTAGACGGCTCGATGAATGTCCTAGTGGACACTACGCGCCTTCCAGAGCCCCTTAGGGACCTCCCTCCCTGGCCCCAGAGAGTGACCCCGATCCTGACCCTGCCCCAGGCGGGGTTCTCTCCGAGATGCAGCCCC